TCCGCACCAAGTTTCACGGCATAATGATGATGCCATCGCAGCACGAGACTGCAATGTCGTCGTCGTCGCCGACGTCGCCGCCGCCGCCGCCGACGACGTCGTGATCCTTACACTACATACGATATACATTATATAAAGACATTCTCCGCGTGGAAGCGGTCGATTCAATTAGTAATTCAAACATATACAAACGTATACACGAAAAATTCTTTCCATCTCGACTCTCTATCGCGAGGTTCGACAGAAAAATTATATCTTGCAAATAAAAAAAAAATATATATATATATATATATATAATGTAATAGATGTTATAATAAAATATGAAAAAAGAAGCTAAAATATTAAATGAGCAGAAACAAATCCTACTTGTAGAGTCATTGATTTTCTCTTAATTACAGATAGAAATACATTGTTGAGAAGGGGAAGAGACAACAGTTAAATTCTAATGACAGCTCAAATTCAATCATCGCGATATTTATTGTTGCAAAAAGTTGTTGCATAGGTTCAACTAGAAATTGCTCCATTTTGCCTCGTCACTGTTTTTCAGCTCGATCGCATACACGCGGTATCAATAACGCACGGTCGATGCTGCGCGCTGTTTATTTTCTCCGGAGGTAAAGACTAAAGCGTGTACAGGATGCCCGGGCGTGTATTTGCCGCGAATAACGGAACCTCGGCAATGTCGGAGTACAGGCAAGAGAAGAGCGGGAAGAGAAAGGAAGGAAGGAAGGAAGGGAGGGAGAGAGAGAGAGAGAGAAAGAGTTGCGAGTGACGCGAAAAGCAACCGATAGAAACAAGGTACCCAGCCTAGATATCTGAAGGAAACCAACAACTTTTGTACAAGACTCATTGTAATATCCATTTTGCGATTTTACGTCGATAAAGGTAATGCGACTTTAATATTGACAAGCAGGATAACATGAGAGTCTGTTGAAACGGTTTAGTGCAGAAACGAAGTAAGTTATTTGTCAAATTATTCGTAAAATCCAATTCAGAGACGATTTCGTATCACGTACATTTTACGTAACGCGGCACGGGCGCAATTCATTCTTAATATTGTAATAATAATCATTAATAATATATATATATATATATATTCTGACAACACTCGTATGTCAGACTAACCGGATTCTTCAAATTCACCCAAGACTGTGCTATGCGGATATTGAGTAATTTCTTTTTTGGACGAGAGCAATTATTTGAGAACGCGAAAGCTTCACCGCTCGTATGGTCACTCTTCACAATTAGTCGCAAGTGAGTGCATTCACCGTGCAACGGTGATAGATAAATAATACCTATATAAGGCGAGCACTCGTCGCTCGCGTTATTCTTAATTCCGTCCGCTGCGCTGGCGCTGGCGCTGGCGCAATCAACAATGGCACACCATAAGCACTGAGAAGTGAGAGACACAGTTACACACGCCATGATGCATAAGTATGTGTTAGACCGGCAAGATCTCGCGTGATAAGGATGACGCACATAATAGAACTGGCTTGCGACAGTGCGCGCAGGTCGATTCGATCGGTTCGATCGAGATGTCTACTAGAGGAGTGATACTTGAATAGTTACACCAATTCACTCGATGCGAGTGACTCGAGAGACTGTAACTACGACATGTAAGTATAATCGATGTCACGCATTGACGCTTCTCGTAAGGAGAAAAATATTTGATTGAATCTCAACTGCAGGAATTGTGGTGGAAAATGAACGATCCAGTCAAGTTCTAGTCAAGTTTATTAGATTTTTGGTTAAATTCAATTGAATATTTTAAATTTTTCCGTGCGATTTTAGAGAAAGCAGACAAAAGCGCGTGGACTGGAAAGCATCGTAGGCGAAAGTCCGATTAAGGATGTATCGCAGGTGTACAGTCTCTGCAAAAATGACTGAAATTACAAATTTATACTTTTACATACATATATGAAACGGTTCAATAAGATCAATATTTATATTTGACAATACAATTTTATAATGTGCAGAAAATTTTCTTATTTGTCTTAATTATTTGTTTAAAAACATGTACTTCTTATTGAAATTTTTCACCCAAATTCTAAATCATCGACAAAGTTTTTGTTTATATATTTACTTGCAAATATATAATATCTGTAATTTTTTATATAATACATCCTTAATTTATAGTGGCACATAGAAAAACGCATAAGCAGGAAGAAATGTAAATACTAAATAGTAAGCAAATCGAAAAATTTATAATAAATAAATTTTTTTATTTACTATAATGCGTTATTTACTATTATTGCCTCACGTTCTCGACTTGGTCGATTCGTTTACTCATTACTGAGTTAGGTACGTCTTACTACTTGGGTTTTTTTATGAGTTAGCTTTACTGCAGAAAAAGGGAAAATATAATCGCGACTCCTATACGTGTTTATATATACATACTCGTATATATACCGTTACTCCCTTGACCGCCTTCAAGTAAAATGTTAATGATTCTCCAAATATCCCAAGCGCGGATCGCTTTCGTCGATGGGGGACTAGTGATGGTATAGTGATGGTACACCTCCGTACCTATAATATGTTCGCACCGATCGATACGAACTCTCTGTGTACCATTTCTCCGTAATTCACTCTTGTATCACGAAGGCTTATATTGCGAAATATAAGCCAGCGTCAAATCATATGATCGAGACAAATTGGATTCTAAAATTATCGCCAATTACCAAATTTCTATATATGTAGTACTTAATTTCAGCAAAAATTTCAGCAATATGTATACGTTGTTGTCACTACGTATATATAGATCGAGTCTTTTATGAATCGGCATTTACTTGAGAGAATTTTGTTATTCTGTTGTTTTAACAAGAGAAATCCTCTTGGTGTGTAGCTTATATATGGACATCTATAACGCGCGTATATTATAGATGCGCGAGTCACAAGTGACAAGAGTGATATTACAAGTGTATAAACGACAGACTCAAGAGAGACGGACAAGTGAGACTAGTGAGAGGCAGACCGCGCAGCCAAGGGGAGAAAAAAAACCTGCCAGCACGGTGCTGCTGGCGCGAATTTTCGAGGTGCGCTCGAGTATAGCTGGACATCGATGTCCAAAAAAGCAGCGCGGCGGAGAATAATATTAAGTATAAACGATGCAAACGAGAGAAACATTATATCATTCATTGGGCAAAGGTCAGATTCAATAGAACATAAGCTACACGTACGTGACTTGGATTAATATCCATCAAGGACTCGGTTTGCTGGAACGAGCTAACGCGATGTTAAAATGAGTGAAAATTAAAAAATTAACGCATCGATGTCCAGCTGGTGGGGATTAGTGATCGCGCACATGTAGCTTCAATATATCTTGGCACTATTATGAGCGTTGATTAGACGGACGGACGTGCGTGTTATTCAGTCTTTCGACAACACGATTTCACGATCTCAAACCGAGTTGAGATTAATCTCGACGAGGGGAAAAGAACGCTGCGTAGTGCGTACATCGTATGTTATTATATATATGTATATGTACATGTACATACAGTCTTATTGATCGCAATTAAAATACGCATTTCCATTTAATATCGCAATAACCCAAGCAAAACGTAAAGTTACTATAGTATAACATCAAAATGGCGTCAAAATGGCTCCTAAATGTGTTTATTAAATGTCACTTGTCGATGCAATCAAAGTGCATTTTAAGTGAAAATGACGTAATCATTATTGTATGATTGACAGCCGTTGTTTTGCTTGGAACACGTTCGACGAGGGAAGGCGATCGAAATAAAAAAGACGCAGGTCGAAAGTGTCGAGAGTGTGTCGAATCTGCGCCTGCGGAGAATGAATTTAATTCGAGTTTGTTGAAAGCAATTGACACGGGCTTCAGTTGTAGCTCGAAATACAAGTATAAAGCAGGTCATCCGAACGAGTGATGAATTATGAACGAGCAAGAACGTTGATCGAATGACGTCGCGATGATACCTGGTTGCTCGCTCGCCGAGCCCGTTCGTGGTTCGTTGGTTCGATCCCGAAAACTACTAAACTTACTAAAGAGATTTCATCAACGAGACAACGTTGACCCTTGTTAAGGGAAATTCCGATTTTCCCACGATGAATTGATTCTGTCGCCGGCGCATGGAGTTGAACGTAAAACGTGACTTGCGCGCGCGCGAGTTCCTAGGCTTTTTTACGAAAGTGCCGATTTAATTTATTCGCAAGGTTATAATGCTATACCGTGTAAAACGCGAACTTGATACTTGAAAGTGTCTCGCAAATTGGAATTTTGCCAAAGCTTCGCACGTGATTAAATGCAAGACCATATCTACTCTCGAGCGTTTAGTATAGGCAGCTTCTGCAGCACGAAAGCTGATGTTTATTATGAATTATCGTTTCAATTCATCAGGTTACAAATTACGTCTTTGTTACGAAGAAGCAGGAAGGTCGATGAAATATGATTAGGCGTTAACTCGCATTAGTACGACCAGCCCTTCGGATCAGTCACACACCAGTTAACCAATTGTAATTGACGATATTGCTCTAATTCTTCGTCTCGAGGCTGCACCCATGACGTAAATAGAAGAGAGAAAGATTAGTTGATCGCTAACCTATATTTTATACGTACATATATGTATACACACACACACACACACATATATATATATATCGCGTGACCAGGCCCTTTGAGGTCAATTGCACCGATTGCACCGCGCGATTGCTCGGCCACCCTGGTCTCTCATTAAACGCGTGCCTGGATTTTTCTCATCCCATTCCGTCCGGATGACAACGAGAGCTAGCGTGCGACGCCGGCGAAAAGCGAATACGGGTGTAACGGTAACCTACATCACATCGCACAGTGCAACCAACCCTCTCCGGGTCAGAGAGGTGCAACCACTGCAACCCCCCGAGCCCGAGCATGGTAGCCGAGAGGTAGGCGCACGGAGCACTCGCACTCGCGTTACATCCCCTCGGGGCGAGGGGATTATATCTCTATAATGTAACGCACGTACGAGGACAGAGGGAGAGGCGTAATTAGACGATTTCTGGTTTACTTGGCAACTTACGATCCGGAAGCGACGGTATAATGTGCGCACGTACGGGAAGGCTCCTGTCGACAGATTATAGAAGATGGCAAGGTAGGGAAGAAGAGGGCGATCACGATTCACGAGATTGTATCACTATTCGCTGAACGCGTTACGCGTATACGCGTGCACCGCGGCGCGCATTACGCGTACCACCTCGGACCGATGCTACCTACACCAAGTCTGGCGAGCGACTGTGTTCCTGTTGCTTTGCATCCCGGCGATTCGCCGCGGCGCCCCCTCGGCCCGCGCATCGCGGCACCGGCTCGGCTCGTCAATGCGAGCTGGCTCCGTACGGCGTACTTACGTACATTGACGCGGTACCCGACTACCCACTACCCAGTACCCTCGCTCGCAGTCGCCAGTCGCCACGCGTATACACCATATACGACGTGTGCAGACTGCAGCTGTGCAGGTGTGCAATGTGCATGCCGCCTCCCCTCCCCGTCTCCCGACCTCCGCCGTCTTCCGGCTCCAAGACGACACACACTCTCTCTCTCCCTCCCAGAGCCGCGCATGTTACATACCTTCGTGTATCAACCCTTCTATCATGGTAGTCCTTCTGCTCCTCTTCCTTCTTCTTCCCACAGCCCACAGCATCCTCAATTATGCGATATCTTTTTTGATTTATGACCGGGCGCCTTGAAGCGCGGTTTGAATGCCGTCGTGATTAAAGTAGTGCCTACAATGAGATTTTTAGAGTATTCTCCTCATATTCCATTATACCTAATTGGTCAATTTCTTACGGCTTCGAGTTTAAAGCTTCAATTTTACGTCTTAAAATTTCATTAGAGACGCTGCTTTAAGGAGGTGCTCCGACTTCTGAGATGCACTCTAAGCCAACGTCGATTAATCGACGTTTAAATTGGTTACCCCTTTCCTTCCAGGCATTATATATATATATATATATATATATGTATATACCGACTTTCATTCATCTATATATTAACAGTTTCGTTGATTAGAATCAACATCGGTTTCGACAGAGTTACAATATATATATAAATTTAAAAAAATATGTTAAAACATTTATCTACTACGGAAGAATAAATATTGCCTGCGAGAAAAGAGTAGAAAATAATAAACACGAGAAGGTAAATAGCAAATTATTCCACTCATCGCCAATCGTACCTTACATACAAGGTGAAAGGAAGTGAGCAAGTATAATGTGTGTGTACACACATGTGTATGTCGTACACTTTAGGCCGTTAATTATATAATCTTCATCGCCGTCTCGAGTGTGTTAATCAGTATATTATATCTATATTAAGTTGTTCCTTCCTCTCCCTTTCTCGTCTACTGATCGAGATTGTAGGTGTGTAGTGAGAAAGAACTCAAAGAAGCGTACATCTCGCGCAGTCTCTCGACGCGTTAAAACGCGGAAAAAGCAGGTTATTTTTACTTGGTCAATCGGATCTTGTTCGCGCGCGGTGCGGTAGCGTGGACGACGATCGACGAGAGCTGCCGAGAGAAGGAGTCGAGGAACGCTCGTTAACCCCTTCAGCGTTCGCACTTACACTTACACACAGTATATACACTAATTATCGCTGTACGAACCCGAGATACGTACGAGAGCTGTCGTCGTATCTCGTAGCCGTGGAAGCCTAGATCGCCTAGATCAACTGAATTCTCAAGTTTGAGGGAAATTAATTGCACCGATGGAAATTCAATCCAGATGAAAAATCTTCACTAATCGTATGGAAAAATGAAAATTTATAGATTTCGATGAAATAAGTCGGTTTACACAACCCAACAATATTACGGTACATTGCAAGCGTTGAGGGCTCGCTTTTGAGCCCTCGATTTTGGAACTGAACTGCATGTGTGCCAAATTTTATCTTATATTGAAACATTAATTGCAGACAAGTTTGAAATTGAGGCGACAATTATTGTCAGAGCTGGGAGGGGTGGAATGAAAGTCCATTATCGAATTATCATAGCTCTGCGAGGTCCGGTATTTTAAGAAGCTTGCTCCAGCCGAGTGATAAGGTATATCGGTATATCGGTATGTCGATTGGCCACGTCGGATCGCTAATTGACTAATTTAAAATAATGTAATCTCATTGGTAAAGCAGTTAAAAATTATTAGGAACCGGCCGACGTGAGTGCATCAAGTGCGCCGCTCCCAAAGTCCGAATCAGGTAAGCCAATGAAGGTAAGAACAATTGAACATCACACTTATTCTAGTGATTTTGTAAATGTAAATTCATTTCTTTTGAATTGTAAAACAATGGATTTTTACATAGACGTGATACGTGATCCCCTCCCCTTCCTCCGGCTATGATAACTTGATTAACATTGTCACCTCAACCTGAAAATTCTTTGTAATCGATACGTATCTCATTGTAGGGTATTATTTGGCACGCAGTTCAGTCCAAAAATTGAAGGCCCAAAAATCTTTTTGGGGGAAGGAAAAAAAGCCAGATCCTTTTTTAGAGTCACTCGCTTTGTAATTCGCACATCACTATGATTGTTGCGATGTAACTATATGGTTTTTGCTATAAGGATAAAGATGATACATATAATGCATACGTAAAAATTCATACATGTATAAATTTAAATTATTTTAAATCTATAAATGCAACGACGGAGATTTTCAAGCAACGCAAACTTCGTGTCCAATTCACGCGTTAAAAGCAAATTAATATTCGAGAAGCATAATATAGTAATTCTACTAAAAACAAAAGGGGGGAAAAACAAAAAAGCGGGAGAATTTATCATGTATGTATGAGGTATGTGCATGTGTGGGGTATAGAAAGAAACACATGTATACCCCTCTTGCGGGCGACCACCGACGAGATACTATTAAAAACCGACATCCTTACGGGAGTTGGCATTCAGTGTGAATATTGAAGTGATTGCGAGAATTAAAAACTGATAATATTGTACTAATTTTATAATTTATTAGTTTAGTAGACGTATTTATGCATTTAGAACTCAATAATATTCGATTTTTCTTCAAAATTATATGATTTCAGTGTTATCATCGTCAAAGTTTGATTCTCAACAAAGGTGAGATAACTGCAGAGAAAAAATTGTAATTTTTCCGCAATATATAGGATATTGTAGCTTTACACAATAGTATGCATATTTATTTATGGAACATTTAGGTAATAAAAAATCATGAATTTAATAATATATATTAGCCAAATATTTATGTTAATAATAGCAAATTTATATCAATTGTCGGTAATGTCAGCGTTCTTCAAGGCTTATTCTCCGGGCCCTTGGGGCCCTTTTTATACCGCCGAAAATTTGCTCAGGGTTGACGGTTTTTATTAGTTGCTCTCGTCGACCGGTCGATGTCGATTGACGTCGATGGGGCCGATGGGGCCGATGGGGCAGCCAATGACGTGATGCAGCGTGTTCGGACAATTCGCAGCAATCGCAGCGGCAATAGCGGTGAATAGCGGCATTTTGACCCGGCTCGGCCGACCAATGGCGAGCGTGCGTCAGCGTGAGACGTGTTGAAAGAATCGGCGCATCCGGCGCTGCGCGTTACGTCCTTGGTCCTTGGTCCGCCACAGTCCGCCAGCGCCAGGTCCGCTTGGTCGTTACGTCGCAATGTTGCATTGCGACTGTTGCGAGTCGCGGGTCGCGGGTTTCGAGATGTGACTGATGCGAGCACTGCGAGCAGTCGTCAGCAATCGTCAGCAGTCGTCGGCCAGCGATACTTTGCGACACCAGTGATAAGCTTAGTGCATATTAGTGCTTACACTCGTGACTCGGCCGCCGTCAATCGCCGTATTCCGATTCGTCCGATTACTCCGATTACTCCGATTGTAGTCGACAACAGCGGGACAGTTGAGCGTTTCACGCGCCATTATGGACTCGTTGGCGAATTACGCCAGTGACGGCGACAACAGCAACAATTCGGACGACACGAAGGTAAGCAAACTCGAGGACCCATTTGCCCGTCATCGACGACGTTATTGTCGATAT